AAATTTGATGCTCAGGCTTCCTTGCTTTCGCTTCTACCATCATACTTGTTGAAAGTATCAAATCTCGAGAAAGCTACTGTCAGGGATATAGCCCCTCTTATTCGTTGGGTATGAATTTACTGACCCGTAGCTTTTGTTTTGTTCTGATGGAAAGTTAAGCAACTTTTTCGTGGATTAATTTGTAGGTTCGTGGAAACTTTTCTGTTCGGTGTACTCCCAGTTCTGAGAAATCTTTTCGTACTTCCCTAGCATTTGCCCTTGAATCTCGTAAAGGCACAGCTGAAGAGGTAAGCTTCTTATTAGATCTATGACAATTAACCTATTTATCATTTGGTTACTCGTATTGTTGAAACCGCAGGTTCTAAATGTTTAGTTTCATTCGGCATCTGTGGATCTAATATAGTCAAATAATATGAATCTCTGTTTGAAGATTACTCTGTTTAGTTTTTCCAAAGTTAATTTGCCTTTTATGAAAGTAGTGGTCCAGTTGATCAAAGCTAAATTCTATACGAACTTATGGAATCATTTTTGCAGCTTGGAGCACTGGCTGTTGCTTTGCTTAGAGCATTAAAGCTCACAACTCGGTATGTGATACTTGTTACTGTTGCCTCAAGATAGTATTCATATTTGGTTTGAATCTGTGTTTGCTCTGTCTGTCAATGACACCTTGCCTAAAATTGCATATGAGGGCTTTATTCTTGCACGTCTAATGAGTTTGCGGCATAATGAGGATTCCCCAGTCCTACTTGGCTTGATTTACTGCTCCAAACGTTTTCAAGATTAATTTTGTCAGATCGTTATTTACTGTACCATATTTTTTGCAGTGTTGCATACGTACATTACCTACGGCTTAATATGTCAAGTGTGTTTCGAGTTTTCTGTACTAATTTGAGTTGCACAGGTTTGTGTCTATTCTTGATGTTGCATCCTTAAAACCAGGGCCCGATAAGGATGAATCTCCAGGTCATAACAGAGCTAAAATGAAGCATGGGATATTCAAGACCTCAACTCTAATGGTACCGAAACAGCAAGCCAGCTTGTCATACCCAAAGAAATTTTCTTCACATATTAAGAATATAAGAGTCTGTGAAACCTCAAAGCCTCAGCATGGGAATCCCCTGGGCTCTGATAAGTTGCAAGATAACACGGCCAACTCATCTTATGAAGCAGGAATGTCCATCAAATCTGACGGAACAAGGAGAAAAGGAGATGTTGAGTTCGAGAGGCAATTAGCCATGGCTTTGTCAGCAACTACAGACAACCGACAGAGCTTTAAAGGGAACGAGAAAAAGAAAAGTCAAGAATTGACAAAACTAAGTGATGTCTCGTCAGTTTCTGACCAAGTATTCTCCACGGCTATTGGTTCTAAGAAAGTGGATTCTCCTCTTTGTTGGGCTGAGGTGTATTGTAGCGGGGAAAACATGGATGGGAAATGGGTTCATGTGGATGCTGTTAATGGAATGATAGATGCAGAGCAAAATGTAGAAGCTGCGGCTTCTGCATGCAAGACTCTTCTTAGATATGTTGTCGCCTTTGCTGGGGGTGGAGCCAAAGACGTCACTCGCAGGTTTTCTATTGCCTGTTTTACAAATTGCGTTACCTGCAAACAGATTCCATCCTTTGACACTTATCTTATTCAGGTACTGTACAAAGTGGCACATGGTTTCATCCAAACGGGTGTGTTCATTGTGGTGGGATATGGTACTAGCACCGTTAAGAGAATTAGAGTCAGCCGCACCTGGAGGTTTGGCTCCAAACAAACACGGTGGTCTGAGAAATTCCAGTAGCCTAAATTCTGTTGCTAACAGAGCTTCCTCAAGTAACTCGTCGTTTGGTTTAATGAGTGCTCTTGAAGATATGGAGTTAGCTACGCGGGCACTGACTGAGCCTCTTCCCACTAACCAACAGGTAAATTGGGTGCAACCCGTCACAACAAATTTAAAGCTCATGCTTCAAAATTTAAGCAGTCCTCCTTAAACCTTTTGCAACAAACACCCTTTATTTAATCTTGCAGGCCTATAAAAGTCATGAACTATATGCTATTGAGAAATGGCTTCACAAAAACCAGATACTTCATCCGAAAGGTCCGGTTCTGGGATTTTGCTCTGGTCATCCCGTCTATCCTCGAACCTGTGTGCAGACTCTTAAAACAAAAGAAAGATGGCTTCGTGATGGGCTACAACTTAAGGCCAGTGAAGTACCCTTAAAGGTATCAGTGTTGTATTCTCTCCCCATTGATTATCTTTATTCATTCCCTCCTTTTTGGGTTGGAAAATCAACTCTTGAAGTCCATTATTATCTTAGATTCTGAAGCGTAACTCGAAGCTCAAAACAGTAAAAGATTTTGGAGATAGCAACAAGGACATCGAAAGTGGTTCTCAGTGCATGGAATTATATGGGAAGTGGCAAACGGAACCATTGTGTCTCCCTCATGCTGTTAATGGAATTGTGCCTAAGGTAAAAAAAAAATACCATTGTGTCTGTCCTGGTTTATATTTGCTTCCATGGTATCTGTAGAAATCTTCCAAAAAATCTCTCTCTGCAGTTGAAAACAACACTTCACAAACTTTGTGTACGGAAATAGTGTTAAATCCTTTTTTGTGTGTGTGCGTGTTGGGTTTTCAGAATGAGCGCGGTCAAGTTGATGTGTGGTCTGAGAAATGTCTCCCACCTGGAACAGTCCACTTGAGGCTTCCTCGGATTTTTGCGGTTGCTAAGAGATTCGGAATAGATTATGCACCTGCAATGGTTGGTTTCGAGCACAGAAGCGGACGTGCTACTCCGCTTTTTGAAGGTATAGTGGTCTGTACCGAGTTCAGAGACACAATCCTCGAGGTACATTCTCCATATTTTACAATCTGAATTTGAATGGTTGAATATGGATGGATCTCTGGTTAATATATCTTTGCCATTTTGGTTTCGGTTAGGCATATGC